GACAACAAACAAAAATCTTAGGCCTACCATTAAAAGCCGTGCTTGGACAGGTTCTGTGCGATCCTCTTCAATAATATCCTCTGTGTCTCAATCGGACTCAAATTGATTCGCAATATAGACGATGTCATTGTTTACAATACAACCGGAGCACATGCTGCTGAGCTGAGTGGCGGGACATTTAGACACGCACTAGAGGTGGTTTAGCCAATCACAACACACTGGGCCAGCTAACCAATCAGAGCCCATTGTGTATTTCTGAGGGAGGGGCCTCATAAAAGCAGGAAATGATCAGCGCGTTCAGAGGAGAAGGGACAGAGCGGTGTGGAATAAAGGTAAATTATGTGAAAAATAATGCGTTTTTTAACAAACTAAGCATTAACACATGTTAGACTGCACCCCATAAACACAATCAAGCCTAGAAAAAAACCAGTCAACCACCCCTTTAAAATGCTGCAGGTGGAGGATCCTTTATAGCCTTTTCTCACATCAGCTGGAATAATAAAATGCATTCTGATTGAAATCGTGAAAGGATTATGTGTTTATGATACATATTTGACTGAAATTAAATTATATTCCAGTTTTAAATGTGTGATCCCATGTAGGCTATCTGTAATCAGATGCACAAGTTTTGTATTTTAAAGAGAACCAGTTCTAAAGAAGAATAATTTGCTTTTTGGGTTAAAATAATTTCTTTATATGGAATTTGAATGGTATGACCATTAGAAATTAGACTACAGAAATTTAAATCTACAGGTAACGCTAATACACACTACATAGCTACATGTAGTCACGCAATGCTGATGTTGTTAACATTAACAATGTGAGAACAAAGTATAACAATAATAATAATTTCCATGGTTTAATGTGATATGAGCTAACCGATCGTACGATTTAATCACCATTGGCAACGCAATTTATTATAATGTTTTTTTCCTCAGTTGGTCAGAACTAAAGTGGCAGACTTGTTACTTACTTGTTCAGATCACAATGTCCAATGAAAATTCTTATTTTGGTCATATATTACTAGACATAGGCTAGAGTCTGTGATTCAGAGGTATATCCACACTGGTGCAGTGAATGGCAACCACACATATTCCTCAAAACATTAAATTCATCCACGCCGAAGAGCCGTGTATATATTTTTGCGTCAATATACTTTATTTCAATGCACTAAAATTTTTATTTTATTGAAATATCAGTGGTATTTAGTATACTTTTGCAATTGCCCTGAAGTGCTACTGAAGTAGAAATATAGTATATAATTTTTGCAATTTTATTAGGCACAAAAAATAATAATTTACCTGGGTTGACTGATTGTGAAACAGTGGTATCCCAAATTTTCAATCTTACTAGGAAAAACTTAATTAGAGATTATTAAATTAGAATTGTAACTTATTTTGAAATAGTCCATATAAATATGTGACTAGACAACATTTCATTGTAGATATCTTAAATATTAGTTGTCTAGTAAAAAATTACAGCATTATTATCTTTCAAAATAATTTTTCATTAAAAAATAAATAAATAAAAATCCAAACACAAGTGGTCACAGGACTTGCATATGAAACACATGTTGGCATAGAGTTTTAGAATTATATCAGTCTGGTTTAAAAGCTCTTCATAGCACATAAACGGCACTTTTAAAGGTTTTAATGACCTTTTATTAGTCACTGACTCAGGAGGTTCAGCCATTCTTATGCTTTTAGATCTGACATCTGCATTTGATACCATTGATCATAATATCCTACTTTCCCGGTTGGAACATGTTATCGGCATTAAGGGTACTGCTTTGGAGTGGTTCAGGTCCTATCTAACTGACAGGACTTTTTCTGTCCGCCTTGATTACTTTGTTTCCTCATCAGCTCCCCTTCCATTTGGAGTCCCTCAAGGCTATATCCTTGGCCCTATGCTGCTTTCCCTGTATATGCTCCCATTAGGGTCTATTCTCAGGAAAAAAATATTTTGTTTCACTGTTATGCAGATGACACACAAATTTATCTGCCACTGAAATGGGAACGTGCCAGTTCTTTGCAACTTCTCTTTGATTGCCTCAGAGATATTGAAGATTGGATGGCCCTATTTTGTTTTACATTTTAATGAGAGCAAGACTGAAATTATGATATTTGGTCCAAATTGTACTAACAAGGTCTCTAACATTGATCTGGGACCTTTGCTTCAACATGTTAAGTCCACTGTTAAAAACCTGGGTGTAATATTGGATATGGATTTTAAACTTGACAAACAGATAAACTCTGTAGTAAAGTCAAGTTTTTATCAGTTAAGGCTTTTATCTAAAATTGAGACTTTTTTGTCATTTAATGATTTTGAAAGGCTTATACATGTCTTTATTTTATCTCATTTAGACTATTGTAATGCCCTCTATGTTGGTGTCAACCAGGCCTCTCTCTCATGCTTGCAGTTAGTGCAGAATGCTGCAGCTCGACTTTTAACTCGAACACGTAAACAGGAACATTGCTTCCCTACATTGGCTTCCGGTCTGTTTTATAATTGATTTTAAGGTTTTAGTGCTTGCATATAAATCCTTAAACGGCCTAGCCCCAACCTACCTTTCTGATCTTATACAACTGCACATTCCATCCAGGTCTCTGAGGTCTGCTGACCTTATGTTGGTGGCAGTCCCTAGAGTAAGACTGAAGCACAGGGGAGATCGTGCCTTTGCTGTAGCTTCCCCTAAACTCTGGAATGCACTACCATTATTAGTGAGGATGGCCCCAAATTTTTCTGCTTTTAAAACTAGTCTTAAAACACATTTTTATTCATTGGCATTTAATTCAGTTTGAGAACTGTGGTTTTTCTTTTTGTCTTTGCTTTTTTGTTGTTGTTGTTGTTTTTTTTATCTGTAATGTACAATACTATGTACAGTACCTTGTTGTTTGTTTTACGGCCCTTTTTGTACAGAACTTTGGTCAGCTACTGTTGTTTTTAAATGTGCTCTAGAAATAAACTAAACTTGAAACTTGAAACGTGTTAATATCAGCACCATTTGTCTTTTTTTTATCTTCTACAGTCTTGCCAGATCTCAGGATAATGTTGGTTGGTAAAACTGGAGCTGGAAAGAGTGCATCAGGAAACACAATCCTAAAAGGAAAGGTGTTTAAAGAAAAACATTCTTTTGAATCTGTGACTAATATATGCCAAAAACATCAGCAGAATGGGATCACTGTGATCGACACTCCAGGAATGTTTGATACAAACATAAGTGAAAATCAACTGAAGGAGGAGATTGAGAAGTGTGTCAGCATGTCTGTTCCTGGCCCTCATGTGTTTCTGCTGGTCATCAGACTGGATGTGAGATTCACAGATGAAGAGAAAAATACTGTGAAATGGATTCAGAAAATTTTTGGAGAAAAAGCTGATAATTACACTATCATTCTGTTCACTAGAGGAGATCAGTTAGACAAACCAATAGATGAGTTTCTGACAGAAAATAAGCAGATGAATGAGCTTGTTAGACAGTGTAAATCCAGGTTTCATGTTTTCAATAACAAAGATAACAATTCAATGCAGGTTAATGGACTGTTGGAGAAGATGATAAAAATGGTGATGGAGAACGGTAGAGAGCATTATACAAATATGATGTACAAGGAAGCTCAGAAGAGGCAGAGAGAGAAAGAAGAGAGACCGAAGTTGAAAGAAGAGAATAAGGTAGGATTATTGGGGGTTGTAGGTGTGGTAATATTAATGTGCATTATGGTATGGTTCATATACCGTAAAAATAAGATGAACAATGCACCTTCATTGAAGAAAAGTAAAGATGCCAGTGTAGGTATGACTGCAGCCCGGAGATCTCCAAAAGGGGGTGTGACTTCCAAAAGTGCGCAGGACCCCCAAAATGGGGTTGTCCTTAGCCAATTGTAATTGACTTACATTTCAAAATAAAAACTTCCCTGCTGAAGAAAAAATAAAGGAGACCAGCTAAAACCAGCTTATCTTAGGCTGGTTTTAGCTGTTTTTTTTTGTTGTTGTTTTTTTTCCAGCAGAGTTTATAAGTTTAAAAAAAAATATTGTTGATCTAAAATAAAATATGCTAAATAAATATGCCTATATAAATAAATATGCTCCATGAGAGCAAAGCCCAAAGCTCGTGGCCGGTGGTGTTTGGACCGGAGTTTGCTTAATGATTCACAGGGTTGGAGGGGTTATTACGTTGGGTGCAACTAAAAAGGTCCCATTATCCGGCGACATCTGGTTGGGGAATTACGGCTCAGCGATCTCATATTGCATAATCTTATTAACTCCTTATCGTTTGAACTGCAACTTTCTTTCCCACTGTGCAGTCAATTTCACTGGTTAAGATTAGGGTCAGGGTGTGGGGTAGGTTTAGGAGTTAGTATTTTTTTGTAGAATAGTGTAGGAAATCAACACTGTGATGGACACGACCAATAAAATCTTTATAATCAGGGGTGGAGTTTACACTGAACTGGATGAGTTGCCCCAGGGTGCAGCCTGGACGTGTTGTGGAATTTTCCTTGTTCAAACGAAATTGCTAAAGAGGTTTTGAAGCCAGTAGACTTTATTGATCAAACAACCAAGAACATTTGACCTACTCCTGGTGCAATTGAGACAGCCAACTGTAATTTCTCAAATGCATAATTTTGTGTCATTTTAATTGTCATGTATTCTTATTATTACTCATTAGTTAAAGAAAATTTGAGATCTCTGCATAATTCTTGGATCCATGGCCAATAACATTTCTATCTCATTACCCCAGTGATAAACATTTCTGATTTCATTTCTTTGGACTTTTTGGAATTATATTTTCCTTCTCATTATTTTATTTAATCTAGCCCTAGAAAATTATCATTAAACAAGATGGAGTGACCAATAGTACTGTTTCATAGTTATATTTTTCTTTAGACACTTTTGTCTATCTTTTTTCTTTGCCACAGAATAGTTTAGTTGTGTTTCCCCTAAATCATGCTTTTGATGTAACCCTCACTATCCTAAATCCAGCCTTAGTTTCAAATAATTTGTGAGTTGAGCACCCACTTTTTCTATCAATGAAGTTTCTCTTTTCATTTTTATGTATTTTTATTTAGATGGCTGGACTGGTAGCTACTGAAATAGCAGACAGAGAATGTTAGTTTAGCAGATAATGCAAAGATCTGCTGTAAGACCAGTGAATAATCAAAATATATTAAGTTAATATAATAAATAACAAATTTGAAGCGTTCTCTAGAGTGATCATTGGATATCTCGCACCTGTGCCCACAAAGGGAGGTATGGAAGTTCTTCTGTTGGACGATCAATCTGTTGAAGTCTTTGACTGTTGCATTGGGTCGTCAGCTTGTGATGTCACTCAAAGGCCCTCAAAGGCCAGATGATGTGAAGTGCAATATTGGCTTTGATTTTTCTCTGCCTCTGTTCAATGTGGCTTTTTGTTGATTCCTACCGCGATTTTACATCTCCTGATGCCTTCTTTGTTTTCAGGAAAAGTCTCAAGTGAAAGTTTCACCTTTTCCTGTATCAAGTCAGTCTTTTTCCTGTAGCGATTTCTCAGAAGTGTCAACTTTCATTGTTGGGGGGCTGAACGCCTATCAGCCACTCTCTCTCCTTCTCTGTGGCTCATGGGAGTTTTACTTACTCAAAGTTGTTCTAAGGGCAGAAAGGAAAATGATTGGTTGAAAGATTCAACCAATGAAATTGGATCAGAGGCGGGGTCAATACATTTGGAAATTTGGAGGGAATCTACAGAGATACGTTATCGACTGCTCGTCGGAGATCGCATATTGTAAGGTAAGTGAATTTACGATATATTTTATTAATATAAATCTAAAAATATTAATCTAAAAATCACACATAAACAGCCTCCGTAGTTTACAAAGATAATTGGGGAACATTGAAAATGCACAAAACTAATAATCATCGTCTATCCGATCGTATGCATTTTGTTATGCGATCACATAACTCGTTCAAGCCTCCGCAACATTTCATCAGTCAAAATTATACATCTCCCGCCCTAGCGCTGCGAGCAGGAGTACTCAATAGTTTCATATCGCTGTTATTTTTAGTGTACTATATGCTGCTCTCAGGGCAGGAGCACTCAATAGTTTCATATCGCTGTTATTTTTAGATCTGAAAAAGTAATCATATTATATTTATAACAATATAAAAGGTGAAACTCATGCCTACCTCTCTCATGTGGCATAAATCCAAATGTTTACATATTTGTGATGTATGCAGATGCTAAACTATTATTTATTATAGGCTAGGCTTTGTACTTTCATGTGGTAAAACATTAACCATTTTCTTGACAAGAGTATATTTAAAAAATAATGGTTTGATAAGGGAATTATATTTATTTCAGACTTATTGAATATAACGGTGAGATTTATACTTTTCAGCAATGTGTTTCTTTCTCAGGGATTGGATCTTCCTGTAGAGATTATAATTTGGTTGTGAAAAGCATTTCCCCTAAATTGCTTTACCGTGTGAAAATACATCTCAGTTATAATTCAGCTCTCCGACAAATTCCAAATCTTGTTATTGGAGGTATTAATATCATGGATATTAAGTGTAATAACTCACATATTAGAACATGTCTTACTCGTGATGACAGCTGTTACCCAAAAGCACTCATAAAGTGGAAACAGTTATTCTTCATACCTTCCTTAGATAACAAACATTCACAGACCCCTCACCCAATAAACATACTGGGTGCCAAAATGTCTGTGAACAGGGCCACCACGACACCTCTGCTGGACCAGATCCATTTACGACCTAATGCCATGTTGAGAATGTCCCCTCGCACTACATTTTCCATAGGAAATCCACAGTGCACAGTAAAAATGGACTCTTCTCTGATTAATTAATAGGAAAACCTTTATTTGAATGAACACACATAGCCTTCAGGTCATTGTGTATATTATTGCTGTCTTGTATATTATCTGTTGTATTGTAGACTATTTTATGCATGCTTATGATAGAACCACTCATTCATGTAACCTTACATATAACGTGTTTGGTCTCTATTAATTCGTATTCGGATGATCTAATTGAGAGTGTATATTGTATGTTTACACCTACGCAACATATTAGTGTTCTAAGAATCTTTAGTAATTTTGATCCAAGTTTCATATGCAAATTACCATGCTTTCAAACAAAGGGTCATAAAAACTCCCCAGTAGCTCAAAACTCCCACTTGGGATTCCGGACTTTCTCATTGGACAAGCCGATCTTGAGAGGCGTGAATCTTTGCAGACATTAAAGGCCGCATTTCATGTGACCCGCCCCAGTTAGAGTCGGTGGTTCTGTTAGGTTTTGATAAGATGTGAGCTCCAATGCTCCAGCACTTTTAATTTTTTTATCATTTTGTTTGTCCATCATTTCAAAGAAAGTGAAAAACTTTTTTCGCTACTGTAGCGAATCGGCTCATGGGGAAATATGAATAATTAACCATAACTAGCTTATAATTAATTATGAATATTTAGAGCCACTGTAGATATTTAGCTGACCTCTCAGGGTCAACTGTCTTGTCAATTCTAAGAACGTTAATTTCCTGGTTAAGGGAAATAACTTTCTTACTGTACAATTCTACAAAGAGCTTGTAGCATAATACCTTTGTAAAAAGGTGTAAGGGATACCTCATGTATCAATTAATAAGACTAAGTTTGATACTTGCATGTCTCGTCTGTCTGAAAGAGAGGTTTGATGTAATCTGAAGTTTCCAGTTTATCTTTGCTGAATTTGGGTCGATAAAAAGAACCAGTTTTGAGTAAGAGAATCTTGATGGATCATGTGTGTTCATTCAAAGAAAGGTTTTCCTATTAATTAATTAGCAAAGAAAAGTCCTTCCCTTGTGGATTTTCCTTATGGGCAAGGAAGCAATTTTCTTCACCTAAATTCCAGGAGGTCGTAAATGTATCGGGTGTCAGGGTTGCCATGGAACCAGGGGCCTGTTCGGCTTCCTGGGGTGTTACAGAGTATTTGTTAAATCTAGCTAACAAAATATATATTGTGTGTTTGAATGGTCCAGATGCTACATTTGTTTATATTCAAAAATGTAAAATACATTTAATTAAATGAAATTAATATAAAACATCAATTTACAAATGCACCAGTGTGCATGCATTTTTAGTGTTTTATTTACATAAAATACAATAAGCAAGTAAGAACACACACAAAGAAACAAAGTAAAACAAACTGTCAAATACAATAAAACAAAGATACAAATGCAGAAAAAACAGTGCTTTCATTTTTTTCATGGAGGTCTACTAACATTACTGGATTATTGTGCTTTCAATGTTTTATCATGTTAACATGTCCCGCAATTTAGCAACAGTAAAGACTGCATTTTACAACAATCACTGATTGTCCCGATTCTGATGTTTATTTTGGGTTTTAGGGAAAAACGTCTCAGGTTACTTATGTAACCATGGTTCCCTG